TTTGTGCGTCCGTGTTCTAAACCCCCCTCCCCCCCCCGGGGGGGGGGGGGGGGAGACAGTCCCACAAATGCCTTTCAAGCAAGATGCTTCAAGTGTCAAGAGCTGAAGGGGCAAAACCAGAAATTTCTCAACATTTCACTTGGCAGCAACGGGAACATAGGGAACCCCTTCCCCATTAAATTTTTAGAAGAGCCCAGCCGGGGTTGGCAGCAGACAAGATGGAAGCAGAAATAGTTCCCCTTCTTTTCGGGGCCACAAAGCAATTTAGCCTCCTCTCCCATTGTCTGCGGTGATGTCAAGCAGTGTGCTGGGGTGCAATGGTGAGCTTGAGGGGCACTCGGGACTGTTTGCCAAACTGATCTGAATTCAACCGTGGAGAAGTTGTGAGGGGCCTGGATACGGATTAACAGTTCATCTTTGATTCTAAGGGAGAGGTCCCTTAGAAAACGAAATTGACTGGTTGAGACAAAAACGACTCACGATATCCTTTATGGATGAAAGAAATTCTCAGAAATTATTTATTTTCAACCCAAAAATGTGTAGAAGTTAAAGCCAGTAAAAAAAAGTGTCACGAATGAAGCCCTGATGCTGGCGTGGGAAGGCAGAATCAATGTCAACAGAATGCACTGCATCCATGAAGAGAATTTCACTGGAACTCACAACTGTACTGTCTTGGCACCTGAATTCCAACCCTACCCACTGAGCACACCCCCATTCTTTATCTCAGTTTTGGCCCAGTAAAACAGAAAGACAGACATTGAACTGGGGGAGACCTTAGTTTACAAAAGACATTTTACTGGCTTCAATTGCCCTTCAATAGTTCTGCCTTGGAATTTGGCCACTTTAAAGAGAGAGAAAAACAACACAGAAACAAACTGTACATTTGGCAGCTTTGCTTCTCAAGTAGCAGTCGTCCTCCCCCACCCCACCCCACCCATTTAGAACCAAGACTGTTTTTAAGACAGTTTATACCTTTAGGCATACCCAGGGATCTTTTTGTAGAAAAAGCCCAGCAGGAACTCACTAGCATAATAGGCCACACCCAACAGCAGGAACTCATTAGGATATTAGGCCACACCCCTGACAGCACAGCTCACTAGCACATCAGGCCGCACCCACATGTTACCAGAAGTGTGGTTATCTTGCCACACCCACCTTTTGCTTCTTATTCTGTTTTACCTTGTTTGTTGTCAAAACCCAGGGCCTTTTTTTGTAGCAGGAACTCCTTTGCATGTTAGGCCACACACCCCTAATGTAGCCAATCCTAATGAGTTTCTGCTCTTGGGTGTGGCCTATTATGCTAATGAGTTCCTGCTGGGCGCGGCCAACTTGGGAGCCAGCCGGAACTCTGTTCCTGTGTGTTCCTGCCCAAAAATAGCCCTGGGCATTCCTTTATACCTGAAGTGATTCTTTGATGTCTGCAAGGAAGAAAGATCCTATTTTCAAAGCAGTACCAATTCCAGGAAAATATTTAGTTATTTCTAACAAAAACTGAACAATTGTGACTCATTTTGAATAATAGAACTTAGTCAGAGTCCAGTGGCACCTTTAAGACCAACAAAGTTTTATTCAAGGTATGAGCTCTTGTGTGCATGCACACTTTGTCAGTGTCTGATGAAGTGTGCTTGCACACGAACGCTCACACCTTGAATAAAACTTTGTTGGTCTTAAAGGTGCCACTCTGGACTCTTTGTTCTATTGCTTCAGACTAACATGGCTGCCCTCTTCGATCTAACATTCTGAACAAGTTCCTGATAAAATACATATGCAATTTTGAATCATTTGTCTCTGAGACTCGAAGAGGATCGAGGTGCTCGAATCTTAACACTGAAAAATGTCAGCTTTGGCGCAACAGCCACAGAAGTAGTGATAATCCAGAAATGACATCTAGCAGACACAGCTACAGAAACTTTGAAGCAGAACTGATGGAAACAGGTTTTCGTGATGTCTTCTCTGAATACTACTTAATACACTGAAATTATCAGTTACTAAAGTAAAAAAACGCTCACTTAATACGTCCTCAAATCATTCATTTTCACTTGGCATTGGAAATGCAAACACGACTCCACCACTTCATTGAATCAGCACAATGACAGAGTCTCACAGGAGTAGAGACACCCTAATGAATTTTTTTAAAAAATGTTTCTATTCACCTGTTCCTGTTTACTCCCAATTTATTCCCAACACTCAGACATGATTTGTCAGCACAAAACTTACTTCCATGCACTGCAAATAAGGAACTGTTTATTACAAAAGACACCCAAACCTGCCTTTATTGAATTCCCTGGTCAGAGCCCAAAGGATAATTTCCAGCACAAGTATTACCACACTTTTCAACCTAAATTCCTCCATTCGAAGGGTGTGATCATCTGAGTATACAAGTACCTGGGAAAGAGGTGAAGTGGGAGAGGATTTTAATAAAGGCGCCGAAGTAATTTCATGAAAGAAAAAAGAACATGGGGTTGACGGAGGGGGCGGATATAGTCATAGAAGGAAAGAGGAACCAATAGATACATAAACCATTGTTATCGCCTGGAACTCCCTTTGGATATCGAGATGTTTTGCTTTGGGATACATTAATTCAATGCAAAGACTGTACAGTTACATTATTACTGAAATTGTTCATACAAGAAAAAGGACAGGCGTTGTCGTCATTCAATGCCCCAAGAGCTGCCAAATCCACAACATCTGCTCCTGTGCTGAAATATAAAGTCACACGTGCCATTGTACCGTTTCCAAATGCACACCTATGAAGTATACAACTAAGAGGCAACTTGCAAACCCAGCCATAGCATGGGTCCTTTTCTTAAACTACTCTATGAGCACTTTTTGCCTTTTTAAAAAAGGCCTCCTGACCACTTCTGAGCTTAAAAAACAAACAAACAAACAAACAAACCCCACGTGGTTACTGTAAGGACTACTGTAAGGACTACAAAATCTAGGGCTCAAAATACAGTTTTGAGATCTAGCTGTCTAAGAGTTTGCAAGCACACGCCTGTTATACAGGAATCATTATTAAGAACTCAATTTTTCCAGTATAAGGACATGACCTGCACCCATCTTTGTCATATGTTCACTCTACCTTGTGTAGACTAAGGAAACTAGGACTGGCTTGATGGAATGTCCTCTACCAACTTCTAGAAAAACAGCCCTAACAGATCTTGGATGTTTTCCGTGCAGAGCCATGATCCTGTGACTTTCAAAATATCTCTCCTACATGAGAAGGACTTGGATAACTGGCAACAGGCAATGCCGTCCCAAGGGAATCTGCCATCCCAAGGCAAAGTACAGCTATCTCCTCCTGGGCCTACCCCACTGCTTCTGTCCAAGCCTACCTCCCAAGGCACTGCCGTAGAAGATTTGCTAGGATCTGGGCAGCGGCAGCACGGGGTTAGAAGGGGAGGGACAGTAGTCACCTGTACCACTGATGATTGGGAAGATGCCCTGGCACCCTGCTCGCCGTGGTACCCTGAACATTACCTTGGCAACAGCTTGTGTCTCGCTGCTTTGCCGCTGTGTCCAGTGTGAGCCAGTCCGGTGTCGTAGTTAAGAGTGGCGGACTCTAATCTGGAGAACTGGGTTTGATTCCCCACTCCTCCACATGAAGCCAGCTGGGTGACCTTGGGTCAGTCACAGCTCTCAGCCCCACCTACCTCACGGGGTCTCTGTTGTGGGGAAGGGGAAGCGAAGCTGCTCTGAGACTCCTTTGGGTAGTGAGGGGCGGGGTATAAAACCAATCTCTTCTTCTTCTTCCAAGATACTGTGCATGTTTTTTTTCTCCCAACCACTGCAAGTGTCAGCAGCTGAAATTGGCAGGTTCTAAGGCACTTAAAGGAACACTAACATGTAAATACAAACTACACTCCCCCCCAATCCCCCTTTCACTATTTGAACCAATATGGCACGTAACAGGAGTCTAAAGAAAGGTATTTATTTTACATGTTTAAATATAAAAGTGAAATGCACTGGACATACCTAGAAAAGAGAGAGAAAGTTATATGTAAAAAAAAATGTAAGCATCCAATTCCGTATCAAAACAGAACCTGATAATTTAAAAAAAATTAAAAAGAACAAATTATTATTTGTTCAAATGTCAAAGACGTACCTCAAAAAGGTATAAGGCATTTTCATGTGGCAGATCTCCTGCCCTATCTCACAGTCTCCCAAGTCAACGTACCGTTGTTTGTAAACTGTAAAAAATTGTTCTGAACTGAAAAAGAATGTTCCTTTTAATACCCTTCCCTCTCCTATCTCATTATACAGTAGTTTCGTGCTTCCACAACCCTGTCCTGATATTGCCGGTACTGTCGGCACTCAGCAATGTCCCATCCTGGGCACTGCTTTTCAATGGTCCGCTTTGGATAGCCAGATTTAAGCCATAGGATTTCTGCTGCCCTTCCAGCTCAACCACCATTGGCTTTCTTAGTACATCTTTTTTGAAGTTGGCCAGGACTGTCTTTTCAGTATTCCTGTGGCCTTTTTGAAGAGTACTACAAGCGTCACTGCTGTCCTGTTGGGACTGGGTATACTGACGCTCTCGGTATGCCAGATACGCTCTCCGGCTCCTGGAGTATCCTTCACTGCTACTCTGACGAGGTTTCGGCAAACCATTCTGGATGCTACCCTCGACGCTGGTGGGGACATCGTAAGAGTACTCCCGCAAGACCGTGAGCCTGCTGGCCCGGTGTCCTTTACTTCTGTTTTTGTGATGGCGACCTGGGTGCCCATTTGGTCGCAGAGGGGCCTCTAAAGGGGCCACGTGCATTTTGATCTCGTTGTCTACCGAGTGTTCGGTAAGACTGTTATCGAGGGGTGGGCCCGTGTTCAGTACCAAGGAGCTAGGAGGACACTGTGCTGCTGCAGCCTGTATATTGGTCAGTTTGCAACCTTGAGAAGAATTTTTTATGCTCGATGTGCTTTTATTAGTGCATGAAGATTCTGCGCTGCTATTGGTGCACTTGGCAGGCTCCCCGTTTGTCCCACTTGCCGTGGAGGAAGGCTGAATGTTAACTTGTACCGAATACGTGCTCCTTCCGGGACAGCAGGTAGTTATCCAAGCGTGCCTGATGTCTTCTCTGTTAGCACAGTGATGTATTATTAGAAAACCACTAAGGCTTAAGCACACGACTCCAAAGAAGCAGCTGAACACCAAATCCAATGGGTAATGTAAAGAAACAGCAAAAGCCCCCAAAATCCACAGGGCCACGTAGAGAAACAGAGTCAGGCTCACGCCCAGCAGCTGAGCATGGAAACTGTGTTCATTTTCCAAAGCTGAAGAAGAGACCAGCGAGACAGACATGGAGTCCTGATGGTTTAGTTCCCCATGTTCATTGGACGCCAATCGCTGCTGTTCCTCCGCTGGCTCTTTCAGCTCAAACTTGCGCTCAGGGTGCCGCTTCAATTGTATAAATATGCTGAGAAAATACATGCAGTTTACAAAAATAATAAAACCGGCAGGTCCGTAGAAAGCTCCCAAACTTGGTTCCCACGCCATCCAGCAACTGCAAGAAAACAAAACCAGACTTGAGAAAGGCATCTATTTTCAGAAATCATACCAACTGCACGAAACAAATAATTGGACTTACCGTGAGGGTGCCTTCTCCTCACTGGAATGGAAGGTATCAAGAAATGAGTTATCCCCCACACACACATACACACACTCAGCAGGGCTGTGCAAATTATTTTCTGCACTGCTTCCACCTCCGGGCTAGGGGTTGAGACCCAGTTCATGCTTGCAAAGCTTCAAATTGAGACAAATTCTTTGGCTCTTTTGCAGAAACAACAACCTTTGAATTCTTTACTTTCCTCTCCCAGAAATTCCTCCCGCCTTATGGGAGAGCCAGTTTGGTGTAGTGGTTAAGTGCACGGACTCTAATCTGGGAGAACTGGGTTTGATTCCCCACTCCTTCACTTGCAGCTGCTGGATGACCTTGGGCAAGCCATAGTTTTGTCAGAGCTGTTTTCTCAAGGACAGTTTTGGAAAGAGCTCTCTCAGCCCCACCTACCTCACAGGGTGTCTGTTGTGGGGAGGAGAAGGGAAAGGAGTTTGAAAGTCACTCCGAGTGAATCCAAATGAAGGGCGGGGTATACATCCAATCTCTTCTTCTTCTTTTCTACCTAACTTTTTTAATTTATATTTTATTGTGATTTCGAATACAATACATCAATACTATGATATATCTTAATCAAGAGAGTCCACCATATAACGTATCAGTCAATTCTTAAATTCACCATGGTAATCATTAATTGATTAGATTCATCATTTTTCTAGCCAATTATACAATCTAAACCAAGTTCCCTCATATATTTCCTGACTTTTACCCTGTAAAATGATTGTAAGCTTGTCCATTTCAGCTTTTTCTAACAATTTTGATATCAGTTCCCCCTTTGATGGAATTTCTTCAGTTTTCCAATATTTAGCAAACATAATTCTAGTTGTTGTTAATATATGGATTATCATATATAAGTCTGGCTTTTTATATTTCTCTGGACTTACATTCAATAAAAATACTTCTGGTTTAAAGGGTATTTTTATGTCTATTATTTCTTGCATCATTTTCTGAAGTGACAAACATTTTTTTTTGTTTTAGCGCACATCCACCACATACGGAAATACGTCCCCAGATTTTGTTTACATTTTCAGCAACGGCTGGACATATTTAGATAGCATTTCGCTACTCTATCCGGTCGCATGTGCCATCTACGGAACATTTTGTATAAATTTTCCTTATAAGATGTTCTGGTAATTTTTATGTTGATTTTCCAAATGCTTGCCCATTGGTCTAAATCTATGTTATAGCCTATATATTCTGTGCCCAAGTCACCATTGTTGCCTTAACTATCTCACCTTGCATCATTGTTTCTAACAAAAAAGCATACAGTTTTTTCATTAGTTTTTCCTCTGTAACCAGCCACATTTTATCTAAATCCATTAATTTCTCATAAAAACCATTCTTTTTATCCTTTTTAAATCTTGTTTCCAATTGCAATCTCCCCCACCACGTCAGATTTTTATTTTGTTCTTGTAATTCAGCAGTTGATTTTAAATTATTATGACTATCCAACAAATCTTCATATCTCTATAAAGGATATTTCATGTATAATCTAGGTTTTATACATGCTTCCAAAGGGAATACCCACTTTGGTATTTTTGTATAGTATAGTTTCTTGACCTCTTGCCATGTTTTCAGTAAGGACCTTCTAAGGAGGTGTTGATTAAAATATTTATGTATCTCATACTTGTCACACTATAGAAAAGCATGCCACCCCACTAATAAACCGTGGCCTTCTATTTTTAACAATCTTATGTTTTCCAAAATTACCCAATCTCTAATCCAAATCAATGATGCTGCTTTGTAATATAGAAACCAGTTAGATAATGCAAAGCCCCCTCTTTCTTTCCTATCTTGTAAAATTTTTCTTTTAATCCTAGGTCTTTTAGTTTGCCAGATAAATTGTCCTATAATTTTATCTATATCATTAACATATTGCTGATTCTTCAAAATCGGGATATTTTGAAAAAAGAAAATGAACCTGGGTAATATATTCATTTTTACCACTGCTATTCTACCCATAAAAGAAAGTTGGAGAGTTTCCCATTTTCCAAGATCTTTCTTGATTTCTAAAAGTAGTGCCTTATAATTATCTTCAAACATAGAACTGGTTCTATTTGTCAATATTATTCCTTAACTTAACTTTCTTCCTTCCTTCAATAGTTGAGTTTTTTTGTAATTCTTGAATCTCTTGCTCGGTACAGTTTTTTGTGATTATTTTTGTCTTTTTAAAATTAATTTTCAAACCTGCTACCTGGCCGAATTCTTGTACCCTATTCAGGAGTTGTACAATCGTTGTTAATGGCTCTTCCAGGATAAAAACTAAATCATCTGCAAAGGCTTGCAGTTTAAATTCTTCCCCTTTCACCTTAATTCTCTTCTACCTTCCATTTGACTGAGGAGAAGATGCCCTCATGTTAAGTCCCATGTTTCGTCCTCCACTAGTGGTGGAAGGTATCTAGAAATGGGATATTGAACAGCTCAATCATCCTGGGTGGGCAGACCACTGCTTGTTGGAGGAACTACTGGGGAACCACCTGCTGGAAGACTCTCTCTCTAAAGATTGCATCTACAGACCTGCAGGAATCCAATCTACAATGTCTGACCAAGGTGGGCACGGATGTCCAGGTTGTTGCTTTGCATATTTCTGCAACGGGAGCACTGGTAGAGAAGTCTGCTGAGGTGGGTGCCACCCTAGTGGAGTGTGCTGTGACTCCCCTGGGAGCAGGTAAGCGGTGGACTTTGTATGCTAAGGTACATGCCTTACTCCACCTGGTGATAGTGGTCTTGGATACTTTATGGAAGATGGGTTGAAGGAAACAAAGTGTGAGTCCATGGTCCTGACAGACGCTGTGTGCTTTATGCGCTTCAGTGTTCTCCTTATGTCCAATTTGTGCTATTCCTTCTCCTTGGGGTACACAGTTCATGGGCAGAAGCTACTGGGTGGATTTCCTTGTCCTCATGGAAAGCAGAGTTTACCTCTGGTACCAAAAAAGGGGTCTGTCTTGCGGATTACTGAGTCTTTATGGAAGGAGCATGATTCTTCCCTTACGGAAAGGGCAGGCAGCCCTGAGACCGTTCTAGCAGTTGTGATGGCCCCCATGAATGCCATCTTGAAGGATAAGGTTCTAACAGGTACTCATTTGATTGGTTCAGTCGTTGGGATAAAGCCTTTAGGACTTTGTGTAGCTCCCGAGAGAGAAAACCACTCCGAATCCAGGGACAGCTGGAGCTCAAAGCAACTGCAGTCTGGTCCATGGAACTATGCAGATGCAGGAGATCAGGGGCCCAAGCAAATGTGCTAGGGTCATCAAGTCGGCTCAGAATGATCATGCAAATAGAAGGAGAGCCTGCTGAATGTTGGATACCTTGTGTTTGAGTGCTCAGATGGATGATGGATTGAGCTGGTGTCGGCAAACTTTTCCGGTGACTGACCAGGAAACTGTGCTTTGCTAGTACCTCCAATGTTGCACGGACATCCCTGGTCACTCTGTCCCTGGACAGAGATCCTTTTTTTGTGGCTGGAGGAGCTTCTCGAAGCTCTGCCTCTGAAAGTTTGGAGAACAGGAATCAGCCTCCTCCAAAGAATGTCTATGATGAGCTCCTGGATCTTTCTGAACATTTAGGGGATCATAAGAATGACAAGGGGGAACAGCCTCTGTGCCTGCACTTTCATTTTCCCCTCCCACTCTTTAGAAGAACCTCCTGGACATCTTTAATGGCCTTGCTGGTGATCCAGGAGTAAATACTGGGGTGTGGGAATACCTCATCCAGAATTCTGGGGGAGGAAAGTGGGGGGGGGGAGGATCCAGAACCCTGGGATCTTTGCACCCCCGTGTCCCTTTACTGGATAATCACTGCATGGGAAGCTTCACTGCCACCAGTAATAGAGCTCTGAAGCCTTGGATGTGCTCCTGGATTCTCGAATTGTGCTGAAGGGGATTGGTGCATTGCAATCTAAAGCCTCTTCCTCTTGATCCATCTGCGGCCACTAAAGTGGAATAACTAGCAGTGATTGAAAAGATTCCTGCCTCAGCCAAGGCTTTTTTTTGGGGGGGGGGGGCGATGACGACCCGCAGGCTCTTCTGGCAATTGCGGCACTGGCTGTTCCCATGACCTGGGGAGCAGGCACGGACGTGAGATCTGCCCTAGAAGTGGAGGGTCTGGCAGCTGGGGGCTCAGACAATTACCCCCCAGCTCTGGCTAGGTGTCCTAGAACTGGAGAGGCGTTGGGGCAGGCGGCCACCATGCCCAAAGCCTTCTCGGTGTGTCCGGGCATCCCGCTGACCTATGCTCCTCAATAAGCCTAAACGCTTTATCTGTGACTCGCCCTTGTTCCCTTGGTTGCTTTCACTTTCGAAGAGCCACGGATGTTCCTTTGAAGCAGAGCAAGACGGGGCATGGACTGGGGCTCACCCCCTAGGCTGGATGTGGAAGCCACATACAAATAAATTGAATGGCGTGGCCTGCAGGGGTGATGGGGGGGCGGGCGGGCATAACCCACTTCTGGAGACCATCCAACAGTGAAGGCGAAAGAATGCCTGCCCACAGCTGCCCAGGAGAGAGAACTTACTATGCTGCACCGGGCCTGCTTCCATAATTCCTGATGTTTGCTGCAGCTGTTATCCCACAGACAATGACAGGGATGCCTCCACCAATCAGGTAGAACCTAAAACACAAAGCAAGCATCAGCTGGGGACTGCAGCCTTCTTCACACCACAAGCCTAGAAATCACAACAAATCCATTGTTGGCCATTCAATTGGCTTCCGAGGGTACATACAAGGTTTCAGCCCTTATGAGGTCCTACAGGGACCAGTCACTAAAAGTAAGAGCAGACAAATCTGTAGAGGGGGTTATTTTAAAGTTCAGAGTAATGGAAATAATTTCTGTTGCTCATCTGGCGGGATTTATCCCATACAGACAACTCGATAATCTGGAACATCTGCCCACTGAATATCAAGTTCATTTGTTCCTCAAAAAAGCAGACTCTAAAAGCTATTCCTTCACAAATGTGAGCTACTTTCCCCAATGCTCTAACTCGACCTACATTTTCAAAATCTACTGGATGGGATAGCCAGAATATACACACATAAGTGACCTCTTGGTTTCAAAGCTTCAGTTTCAATTTGAGATTCTCTGTCATGAGCTAAGCATGCGCAATTGAACTCATTCTTTGCCTTCCCCTTATCTTCCTCTGCTTCTCTGAAGCTATCTCAATTTTAGAATTTAAACCCTTCCGACATCAGTACTACAGTTCTGCTCACTAACTTTCTTCATTTGTACAAAGTTTGAGCCTAGTGGCATCTTTAAGAAGAAGAGATTGGATTTATACCCCGCCCTTCACTATCCAAGGGAGTCTCAGAGCGGCTTACAAACTCCTTTCCCTTCCCCTCCCCACAACAGACACCCTGTCAAGTAAGCAGCGCTGAGTGAGCTCTGACAGAAACTGCTCTTTTTCAAGAACAGCTGTGCTAGAATTATGGCTTGCCCAAGGTTATCCAACAGGTGCAAGTGGAGGAGTGGGGAGAGCCAGTTTGGTGTAGTGGTTAAGTGCGCGGACTCTAATCTGGGAGAACCGGGTTTGATTCCCCACTCCTCCACTTGCACCTGGCTGGATGACCTTGGGCAAGCCATAGTTCTGATAAGAGCTGCTCTTGAAAAAGAGCAGTTACTATCAAGAGCTCTCTCAGCCCTACCTACCTAGTCACAAGGTGTCTGTTGTGGGGAGGGGAAAGGTGTTTGTAAGCCGCTCTGAGACACCTTTGGGTAGTGAAGGGCGGGGTATAAATCCAATCTCTTCTTCTTCTTCAAACCCGGTTCTCCCAGATTAGAGTCCACGCACTTAACCACTACACCAATAAAGTTTAACTTGGGGTATAAGCTTTCCTGGACATGCACACGAAAGCTTCTACCCAGAATTAAACTTTGCTGGTCTTAAAGGTGCCACTGGACTCAAACTCTCTTCTATTGCTTCAGACCAACACGGCTCCCCACCTGAATCTCTCTCTATTTGTGTTCATCAGGAACCACTTAAGAGTTTCACAGGGCCCGCATGAGAGGCCAAAGGGAAAAGGTCCTTAACAAAAAGCTCTGGACGGTCACAATCCTAACGGCTTCCAAAGGAACAGAACCGTATGTAGCAAATATGCTTGCCAGAAAGCTGAGAAACAGAACAACCTTAGTGACTATGGTAATACACCGATTATTTTTTTCCTTTAGTGTTAAGTATGAGCAGGGGTAATTTCCTGCAGGAGCGCACAGGAGCAGAGCTCCGGCAGTAAAGAGCCCAGGGGGCGGGCACATGCAACAAGCCCCACCCCCTGCTCCCAGCAGCCCTCAGTCAGAGCAAGAAACAGCCAGGTAAGTTGCAGAGCTCCCCCCATCCCCCCAGACCAAAACAGTCCAGTGGCACCTTTAAGACCAAGTTTTATTCAGGCACAAGCTCTCCCTCCTCTGCGAGGACAGATCTGCACGTTCCCCCCACCCCCCAATAGCTAGCAATCCAAAGCAGTCCAGTGGAGCCTGAGTGGTGGGTGTTGCCTTCTGACACACTTCCGGTGATGTCAGGGGGTGTGGCATATGCAAATAAGTTATGCTAATGAGTTATGCTAATGAGCTCCTGCACCTCTTTTTCTACAAAATGACCCCTGAGTATGAGCACTACTTATCAGGAGCTACGCCTGTTCAAGCTCCAATGAAATGAGCAGGAGCTGTGTGAGAATGTTCCTTCATTCACACTTCAGATAAGCAAGGGGATATCACAGGGAAAACTCCCCCAACTATTTCTCCATGTGCTGCTCTATCATCACTCCCTGTGAGCTAAAGTACTGTATACAACAAATTAACACTGAGCGCTATGAAGCTCCAATCAGTTTTAAGGAAAGCTGATCGCTTTCTGCCACCTTGTGGACAACTCTAGATAAATAGAGTATGACGGACTCTTTTGTCAGAGTGCACCTGTGCCAAAAATGAAGATCATGTTTTGAGTCCTGCCGGGTGGGGTGGGGGTGGGGGGGATTTTGGAACAAGGGAACGGCAAGAAGTGGGAAAGGGTTATGTACATTTTGGCCTCTCCACCTCTGCTCCGGTTCCCTTTCTTCTCAGGCAGCTTTGCTTCTTTTAAAAAGGTGTCATATAGCGTGTACATAACTTCCTAGTGAGCACACACCTAGCAATGCAGAAATTTGTATTAAAGCACATGACGTACGCGCTGTCCTCCTCTGAGGCAGTGAGAGCTGTGTAGAAAAATCATGTTGCGTTCATGATTAAGACAGTTATCTGATGTTACAGCTGCCTAATGTAAAGCCTGAAGAAAAAATTATTTGGAGGAGATGCATACAATTTCTGCTTAGTTCGTCACAACATTTGTTGCAAGCTTCAAGATTCAAATGTTGTATCAGGGTAAACAAAAACAAAAAAAACCCAGACCTGAAACAACTGTTGAGGAACTGGTAACAAGGCCAGCAGACTTTCTGCTTAGACAGAAACACAAATCAGTTTCTTCTCCTGATTAACCTTTTTTTGATTCCATCTTCAGTTCAACTCATGGAGAATACTTGCTAACATATACACCTCTGGAGAAGTTAGTATAGGCCAAGCATTTTATACATATAATCTCAATCTCCCCACTCTACCCGCATTTTATCCTCTCTTTTCTCCAAGGAACTCAGGGGCAGCATACACAGGAAACCCCACCCCCCTTGTGTTCTCACAACCACCCAGTGAGGCAGGTAAAGCTGAAAGACATTGACTGGCCAAAGGTTACCCAGTGAACGAATGAAATTGCTGAGCAGTCGGGTTAGAACAGATAAAAGGAAGTCCTTCTTCACCCAAAGAGTGATTCACACATGGAATTCACTGCCACAGGAGGTGGTGGTGGCTACAAGCATGGACGGCTTCAAGAGGGAATTAGATAAGCATATGGAGTTCCCTGGAAGGCCAGATAATGAAACTGAAGCTCAAATACTTTGGCCACCAAATGAGAAGGGAGCACTCACTGCAGAAGACCCTGATGCTGGGAAAGACTGAAGGCCAAAGAAGATGGGGACGGCAAAGGATGAGATGGCTAGACAGTGTTATTGATGCAACGAACATGAAGTTGAGCAAACTTCAGAGGACGGTGGAAGACAGGAAGGCCTAGCGTGATCTGGTCCATGGGGTCGCGAAGAGTCGGACTCGACTGTGTGACTGAACAACAACAACAACAAATGGAGCACAGATCCATCAGTGGCTCTTAGCCACAAGGTTTATATAGGAACTCTCAGGCTGGGGCAGGTGATGCTCTGTATTCTTGGTGCTTGGGGGGGGCAACAGTGGGAGGGCTTTTGGTGTCCCGGCCCCACTGCTGGACCTCCTGATGGCACCTGGTGTTTTTGGCCACTGTGTGACAGAGTGTTGGACTAGATGGGCCATTGGCCTGATCCAGCATTGGCTTTTCTTATGTTTGTTTGTTTATTTATTTATTTATTTGATTTTCTATCCCGCCCTAACCCCTAAGGGTCTCTGGGCGGCTTACAGAGAGTGCTAATCACATTTATGTTCTTAACTTCATAGTGAGAATGTGAATTTGGGGCTCCCAGATCCTAATCTGACACACCACCTATACCCTGGAGACTGCTCCACCCCCACACATAGCAGCATACAGCAGGAGACTGTCCCTCCCCCCCACACAGTGGGGACAGAGATGGAGACCAATTTTCCCTCTAAGCTGTGGAGTCTTGTGAGCAAAGATCCTACTTTGTGAGCTACTGGCATTGAAGTTGTGAGCAGGTGATTTGGCTCCTGCATTAATTAGTTTGCTCTGGAGCCCTCCTTCCTGGGCGGAGACAAAAATGTGTGAGCCGGAGGCTAAAAAACTGTGAGCTAGCTCACATGGACTCAGCTTAGAGGGAACACTGATGGAGACTGTCCCTCCCCCCATACATAGTGGGATAAAGCGCGGGCACTTCCAAGAATAGAACTTTCCCATCCTGCCAATAACCCAGCCCCACATCTTAATCCATCACTCGCTAACATTTTCCCATTTTTAGAAATACTCATGGTTGCCACTGGGAACTTTCCTTTCCCAGTTCCAAACCTGTTTGGAAGTCCCTCGGCCCAACATTCCTCTTAGTCTGTGGCAGGGACTTGTTCTGTGCTCAAGTGCTCTAACTAGTGCTAAGCTGACCTCGCCCAGAATCCCGAGAGGGAAGTAGATGTATGCCATTGCCAAAATTTTGGGGTGATCGAGGTGTATTTCAATGTGATAAGTAGATTTCCGTTCTCTTGCTGTTGGGAGAAATGCCTTAATTCTGATACCCAAGTGACTGTGGAAACACACATACTTTACTATGTGCAGGCAGAAGAGGGACAATACAACAGATAAGCATCTCTATTGGACAGACTGCTGGAGGCATCAACTATCTGGAAGCAGGCAGACAGGTTTGTCTACCAATTTTTAGGAGACCCCCAGAAAGCATGCAGATTTGCTCGTGGCAAGGAATGAGACAAGGAAGGAGGTGACTCAAGGAATTGTGCAGGAAGGAGTAAGTCAAAGCATGTAGCGAGAAGGTTGGAGGAATTTTTGTGAGAAAGCATGTGAGAAAAGGCGAAGGCTGGAGGAATTTGTGTTGAGGCTAGTGTTGCTGGGGTGTGTGGAAAAATCGCACAAAGGATGACATTTATTGATTCTAAAACCACACAGGAAGGATGAGCTTTGCTTTGCTGGTCTTTCAAGGTACTCCACCCTACTGAACAGAAGACCATGGCATAGCTTGAGTGCCACCGTGGTGCACTAAGAGTGCACTTACCTGTTGGAAGGCATTGTATGCTACCTGTTAGAATACTACATATGTTTACTATGTACTTGCCTGCTGGATATTTGTAGATGTGTTATTATCATTCTAGCTTGAATGGTACCTAAGAGATGCTTGTTCGTCTTTGTTCTGCTCTTCTTCTGAGCGTCTTTCCGCACAGTTTTCCCCCTTGATTTTGCACTAACAAGAGTGCCAGACTAAGACTGGTGGTGGTGGAGTCTGCGTGCAATGAAATCCCTGATCGGTCATGAAGCTCACTGGTGACCTCGCTCAAGCCATTCTCCAGCCCAGTCTACCTCACAGCATTGTTGTGAAGTTAAAGCTGAGGAGAGGAAAACCGTTTGTGCCATCTTGAGTTCCTTGGCAGCAGGATGGGACAAAAAAAAAAGGCATGTGCGTTGTGTGCACCTGAGACACCCACACCATTACTGGTGACAGGGGGAAGGGGGGGGGGGAGAGATACAGGCCTCCATTACAGTTGAAAGGGGGGGACAACCTTAACTTGAAAGAAGTATTTATGCTGACAGATCTGAGCTTCAGACTCATCACTAGAAACCCATGCTAATTAAAAATATGAGGACACCCCACCCCCAAATAGCATCCATGCAAATAACTTTAAGCATTTCTCTATTTATCAATTTTGCGCTGGCATTTCATGTACAGGTTACTGAGTTTCCAGTTCCATCTGGTACAGGCACACCACAAATAAAGAGGAAGAAGAAGGAAGATATCTCACCTAAGCATTGGCCTGGGAGGAGGTGGCGGCTCATCGGGATCTTGACATCTTTTCATCTTTCTTGTAACTTGCTTATAAATGTTCCTAGAAGTGACTCCCATCCACAGTAATGTGGCCAGTGTGGAGTAGTGCAGAACTATGCCAACCTGGAGAAGAGAGATTAAGACAATTAAAAACATTTATCTAGGAGAAAAAACACAAAAACCACACATAATATTGATTTCCCCCCCCCAACACGCACGCACGTGCACACACACACGAACACACAGCCTTTACCACGCTTTTTAGCAACTTTCTCCCAGAACCACATTCCACTTACTGCTTGGCAGAAGGTAGCATTCCTGCTCTGGGGTATGCCTCCCACGTACATTGCACACGTCAGGAAAATGTGAAAGCAGAGGTTCACTAACATGTGCCAACTTTTCAGGCTGATCCTGATGACACTGTTAAACAAAGACACAGCAGCATTTCATAACTTTCAAAGCAAGAGACATTCAGAGGTGGTTTGGCATTGCACGCCTCAGTGTCGTGACCCTGGTATTCTTTGGAGCTCTCCCATCCAAATACTAGCCAACGCTGACCCTGCTTAGCTTCTGAGATCTGAAGAGATCGGGTTACCCTGGGCTATCCAGGTCAGGGTAAGATTACCAAAGCTAGGCAAAAATGCCTGATTTTGGTGCAAATGTAAAGAACTCCAAACTATTCTAATGCTCAACAAACACCCCAAATGTCACAATGGTGCCCCATCTCTGCATTATGAAATAAGAATACAGATGAGAATGAATCCAGACTAGCTTTTCCTCTTACTAATTTTTCCGGTTTCTTTGTTAATTCTAATGGCAGCAAGTCATATAATGTGAATACACCTTACTGTACTTTTGCCTCTCCAGTGGTTTCTTGATTGTCGAACTCCCACTGCCACTAAGAGCTTATCACATAGCAAAGGTACATAAGGATGTAACAAGAGCCCTGCGGGATCAGTCCATTGATCCATCTAAGCCAGGGGTGGCCAAACTGTGGCTTCGGAGCCACATGCGGCTCTTTCACACATATTGTGCTGCTTCCAGCAGGGTACCTGGGGAAGCAAAGGGGAGGGGTGCTTTTTCTCCCTCCCTCCCTCCCATCTATTTATTTTCTTTCTTTCTTTCTTTCTTTCTTTCTTTCTTTCTTTCTTTCTTTCTTTCTTTCTTTCTTTCTTTCTTTCTTTCTTTCTTTCTTTCTCTTTCCTTCCTTCCTTCCTTCCGTCTCTCTCTCTCTTTCTCTCTTAGACAAATAAACATCATTAGCGAGCTAATAAATATCATTGGACAAATAAATATCATTCTCAATATCTGTTTTTACCCCTTTTGTTTTTATTTTTGGCAGTCTCATTTAATGTTAAGAAAAAGCAAATGTGCATATTTTTCAATAAAAATGCTGTGTGTGATATTTGTTCATGTCTCGCGGCTCTCAAACGTCTGATGCTTATTCTGTGTGGCTCTTACAGTGAGCAGGTCTGGCCACTCCTGATCTAAGCCCAGCATCCTGTTTCACTCAGGGGCCAACCAGCTGTCCTGGAGGGACAAGACCCCCCCCCCCCCGCTGTTGCCCCCCAGGTTTCAGAGACCGGCTGCCTCTGAGTCTGGTTCCATTTACTCATCGTGGCCAACGGCCATTGATGGACTTCTCCATGAATCTAGCCCTCCTTTAAATCCATCCACGCTTGTGGCCATTCACACACCCATTCCCCAATTTAATTACTCGTATAGTAATGGAATCAACGGCTGACAAAGCATCGTCCACCTTTCCAAGCTAGTTGATAACCCTGACCTGAATCTTCCTGGTTTCAGACAACCTCTCTCTACTTCCAGTACAGAGTTGCCAGTCCATGCATAAACAACCTAGATGGGACATTGGCTTGATCCAACATTGGCTTCTCTTATATTCTAACCTGAATTCAACCAACCAGACGTTTTGTGACTCTGATATAGATCCAAAGGGAGGTTATATAAGCGGTTGATACCTGTGATGGTATAGGTAGCTGACTTCGATCACCAAGAGGCACATCAGGAGAATCACCACGGAGGCATAGGTCACTGGATGCAGCAGGCCAGCGGACTGGGTGTGGAAGTCTGTCCTTGTCAAATCCTGACCAATGACAAGATGGGATGCAGCATTAGTCCAATCCGTGCTGTCCATTTGGGGTAACAGCCCCAAAAGACTGCTAGGGAAAAAACCCCAGCATAAGACTGGAACAGAACTCTTAGTCTCAGCTTAGCAATTAAATAAGGCTCCTTGAACCTCCCGTGGGAGGGCTACCAGGTCCCCAACTGTGGCCACCAGCAGTGCGGGGTGGGTGGGTGGGGGTAAGGTTGCCAGACCCAGGTTGAGAAATGGATGGAGCTTGTGGAGGACAAGAGACCTCAGTGGGGTACGATGCCATATGGTGTTCCCCTCCAAAGCATCCATTTTATCCAGGTGTAGACCAGGTATCGTGGTGTAGACCAGAGATGAGTTATAATTCTGAGAAATCCCACTTGGAAGTTGGCATCCCTATCCCAGCTTCCCGGGGAGGGAAAATAGCCATAGTAATTAAATCTTGAGAACGATTAAACTTGTTAAGGTGCCACCAGCACAATGCAACCGTCAAAAGTTGAAGGATGACTAGTGATCATCTCCTGAAATTAACACAATTAACACAATGGGTGCAATCTAGTCATCTCAAAGAATTGGGGGGTGGGAGGCACAATATTTATGTTTGCTCCACCAGGTGGCACAGTTACATTTCATTGAAATCAATTCCTTAAATATAAACCCAACTCAGCTAATATTTTCGATTAAAAAAAACACACACCACACCACTTTTTCCTACGGAAGGATTAGGTATAATTGTCAAATCGAAGAATAAGAATGTTCAAGTTCTAGGATTACACTGATTAACATTTTTTTAAATAGCTTCTAACACCAAGAACTCAAAAATAGTTTTTATTTCAAATCTTTTTCCACATAAAGACTTCACAGGCCGTAGCATCACATATATTAACACATTTTAAAAAGAAAAATGTACTAGCAACAAAAATTAAGAACACCTGCTACTGATATTCAAAAAGGCAATTGAAAGTAAACCACAATGATCATCCTTTAATAACGAATCCAGGTTCTTCTGAACTAATTAAAAGTATTTTAAGTTATTTGTTACAGTAATACTATCTCAATGACTAAGCTGCTTAGTGGTTCAGATACATTAAAGTTCAGAAAAGCTCTGGAAATAATTCCACTAAAGTTAGTAGTCTGTGAGACTCTTTACTGACTGGCCCAAATACACCTCTGTAAGTTAATTTCAGTGTCTCCAAAACAAAAGGAAAGGGGGGGGAGGAAACCCTTCAAATTCACAAAAAAGTGTCCTGTCTTCCTATTCTTGAGATAAGTCTTTCTAGCTACCGATTAGCAGGAGAGTGGTTACTTACAAGCCTGGACTGAAACAGAAGGTCTAACGCTAGCAGACACCCATAAGGGAGCCCCCATATTTCAGTAAAATTCAAATGGGGCTCCAGCAAGACATTTCCCCCAGCGTGACAATAAGGAAACAGCTCCAATATTCTACCTAAAACACTTATTAAACGTAACAAAGGGTAGCAGACAGAGCAAAGGGGAAATTAGTCCCTCCCCCACCCCAAAAAGTACAGGCGCTGTTTCAATGATTATCTGTGATACACCCATAATGCAGTGAAGGATCAAGTCAGCAACCACCCCTGTGTTATGCCTACTTGATTCCCTCGGGGATACGACCATCCATTCACACTGGGTTCTTTGGACAAGCCAGTGCCTGGTTTATTCCAGGTTCCCCCCCCCCCCCCCCAAAAAACCGACTGGGTTGTCATTTTTGCATCTGTAATTTCCTGCCTGCTAGTTAGAATCAAATAGGCCAGTAAGACTGAAACCTTTGGGTTCCGAACCAATCATGCCTTTGGAGCCTAATGGACACTTAACCTTCCATCATTTTCATGGCATAAATAGACCCCCACAATTTTTACCCTGCACTTCCTCACTACTGCCCCTGTACAGTTTCGAAAAGAGGACCCTCTAGAGTTCTGGAGCCGGCCTCGGTCTCTGCCCCGCCTCTTCCTTTTTCTCTCTCCTTCTATCTGGGACTCCGTCATCGCTTCAGGACATGCTTGCATGTTTTCATTCCTCACACATACACACCCCATTGTGTGCTTTTACTGCCTAGGTGGTAGACTGTCTAGGATTATAGTGTCAGAGAGAGAAGAGAGAGGAAAGAGAGGAGAGAGAGGAGAGAGAGAGACTGCAGCTCTGAGTGTCTCCTGCTTTTCTTGAGCTATATTTCTAGATAAAGATTTAGACTCAAATTCTATTTTCTTCCTGCTTTATTTCAGGGAACATCCCCATTTCCATAGTGAAGTGCTACTATCAAGCTCTGAACCTTGGTGTGTGTGTGTGTGTGTGTATACAGGCAGTGATCCTTAATTTAATTTCACCTGGTACATTTGGGGGTGCTCTTAACATGCACGGGAGTGCTCCAAGTGCTGAGGGTCACACCCACAGGTAGACCATTTGGGTAACGCCTACCCCGATGAAGCCAAGTGAGAGCTCAACCTGTATCTACATCCGGATCCAGCATACTATTCACAGTTGCACGGACAATTAAAGCAGAGGTTTTTCATACAAACACACACACACGCCACAGAAAATCGCACAAAATGTTACCAGCTCACGTACCATCAAGACGGCATAGTTACTGAGCGAGGTGCACTGTATGGTGGTGACATTTTCATCTGAAGAAAGAATGTGGCATCCATCTGATTTCCATCCTCCTTGACCGTTTAGCAAATCGAAGTCCCACTGTGCTGCAACGGCGTCCGCGCCATGGGCAATGCGCCGAAATGTCACATTGATAGGAAGGTGTCGATGGGGTGGGCTTAAGCCATCTTGTTGGGTAGTAAAAAAACAGCATTCACTTCATACATACCCAGATTTTTTTTTTTAAAAAAAGCAACAATTTCAAGATTAGAGATACGGAGGCTGATGTTTTTAGAAAGCATTAAATCCTCTAGCGACAAACCTATTTTGGTGAGGATAACGGGCGTGACCACGGTGCGCCGCTTCCTGTCGTCAGCTAAAGCGGTTGAATTCCCTGTGACAGGGAAGAGTTTCCCATTGCGGAAGGCAATCAGCTGAAGCTTGTAGGCAGTGTCATCTGCCGGCCTGATTTCCCTTCTGCGCTTTTGTGAAAAGAGGGCCGGCGGGAGCTGTATCGACGCCTCCATGACCGTGTTCTACAGTGAAATAGTGAAGAATTAATACCAAACAGAAAGCGCCGGCTACTCTGGCACCACTTATAGTTGGAGAGGCTGCTTCTTCCACCCTTCTGCTTTGGGTACCCTGTCTCTCGGCAGGAGCCACGAATATATTTTTTGAGGGGTTGGGGTCTGTACAATGTCGAACGCAAGTTCAACATGGATATCTCCCTGAGCATGTGGAGAGATTTCTCATGTGAACCGCATTTCTAGAAGTATCTGCTAACACTGATAATCCCTACATTGATGAGAAAATTTCAGTAATTGGACTTCACATTAATGACTTGGTTTTGCTTTCGAGGAAGCAGGCCTTTTGCCTTGATCAAGCAAAGGCTTATTGATATTGAGTTACAATAATTGAAAAGCCTGGCCTCTGGACGTTGTTCCCCCGTGCACTGGGCGCTTTTATCTGGCCTGTCCCTTCCTGAATATCTATCTTGTATGGGTGATCCTCATCTTCGTAGGGCATTTATGTTAGCCCGTTTTAATGCTCTCCCATCTGTGGTGTTATATGGGAGCTTGAAGAAAATTCCATATACAGATCGGTTACGTCCATGTGGGATGAGCCCGATTGAAAGTAACAATCATGTTATTTTGCAATTGTAAATTTTATGATAACCTTCGTACTGTATTTTTAAAGCCTTTCCTGCTACCTTTGGATGGTCGATCTGACGATCGTAAGACCTTTACACTTATTTGTATATGATTCTTTCAGGTAAAGAGGATAAGGCTTTTCAAAAGAGATGGTTTAGAGTTAATAAATGGTTGGGGAAGAATGCGTAACTCCATAAATATGTTTCATAGACAAAATATTCCTTTCTATTTGGTTTTTATTTTTATGTTTTCTTTTTGTGGTTTTGTAATGAAAATTATAAATATTGCTATCTTTTTTTAGTAATGAAAAATCATAAAATTGTAAAAAAAACACCCAAACCTGTGGGGGTTTTTTTTTGTACAGGGTGTCCATTCACAGTGCACCTCCACCTCAGCCCTACGAAATGCTACGGTCTAGGCCAGTGATGGTGAACCTTTTAGAGACCGAGTGCCCAAACTGCGACCCAAAACCCACTTATTTATTGCAAAGTGCCAACACGGCAATTTAACCTGAATACTGAGGTTTTACTTTAGAAAAAAACAACTCATACGTTAACTTAAGATGATCCAAACAAAGTAAGGAAAGCAATCCCAAATGCTTTCGTTGACTTAAAATAATTTGGCAGAGAATTCGACACTTTAATGATGGTCTGGGCCTGGCTGGGGTGATGGCACGCATGCTCACAGAGAGGGCTCTGAGTGCCACCTCTGGCACCCGTGCCATAGGTTCGCCACCACTGGTCTAGGCAATGCTTTACAACTCAATCCCGGGGAAGGTATAACGTACCACCCCACTCCGAGTCTAACCTTAAGCGCCAGGCTTGACAATGTATTTGAGACATTGCATTTAAAGCCCAACTGCTTATCCAAACTTCCATCCACGTCTCGCCGCCCGTAGTCAGGCAGTCCTGTGCGGTCTGTGGCAGCCACCTTCTGGAAGACGGTGCAGGTCATCCCAGTGGAGCTGGGGCCCTTGATGACATAGGCTTCCACGGCAATATTCGGAGAATACTGTAAGACCAAAAAAACAAAAACCCGCTCTGTGCCATGTACGACTGGTAGCATAAAACGCTCTTAATGAATGGCTAAACTGACTGGCCGGAATGCAAATTTATTTCCCAAATTCAAATCTGCAGATACCAAAACAGATAGGTTTTTAAATGAAAACTCCTACTGCTACTAAAACAGAGCAATGCCTATACTTGGATTAAAACAACAACAACAGAACGGGCCATTGCCTACCGTTGAGTAAACCTGAGCACCGTTTGCCAGCCGGTAGGTAGCGATCCTCTGTAGGCACTGTACAATTCTAGTGCAAGCTTTCGCTTCTCTCTGTGCCATCCACAAGATGCGCTCATCAGCTAGCATGATGTTACTCGCAATGTCAACCATCACGTCGCCAAGCTAGTACAGGAAACAGAGTGAAAAGCTGACAACTTTGGAAGTGCATCTTATACACAGAAGACTTTGGTTCCGTCTCCCCACCCTAAATCAAAACTAACAGGTAACATCATGTAGTTTAAATGGTATGTTTATTCTAAGTCACATCCTCCAAGGAGCGAGATGTGTGCTTCCCCATTCCCCCCCTTTGCATATACTAAAGCAGGGGTGTTGAACTCATTTGTTATGAGAGCCGGATCTGACATAAATGAGACTTTGTTGGGCCGGGCCATGTATGTCATAAAATGTAATGCCAGGTAGTGGAAATATAAACTTTATAAAGGACACAAACAGTTCTTTTTTACTTAAAATAAAAACATGCTTAAAACACTAGCACTCTTGCAATATTTTGTTTATTTAACAGTGTCTGATAACTGACACCTCTCGCTCTGAATTACTGCCTGTGTTGTTGCAATCTTGAGTATGCTGTTCAGGTGTGTATGTGTAAGCTACAAACCTACGATGATGCAGCAGCAGAACTGGAAGAAGCAGAAGACAGCCAGTTCCACTGTGGGCCTGATAGAAGCCCTCTGGGGGCCTGATCCGCCCCCGGGCCACATGTTTGACACCCCTGTTTGGTTCATAGGCTAATATTACAAACACTAAACAGAACCAAAGTTATACAGCAACAAAGGTTCAGGTTTGCAGTCTTACTTCCCATTACCATCTAAAATTATGATTTAAGCCCTATGCATGGCTAAGATGCTGATTTCTCTGGTACTGTTTTAGTTTCATTACTTTAACTGTGGATATTTTGTTCACAGATTTTCACATGTAGATTTTGTTCCCTCTGTACATATAGAAGCTGTCATGCTTCAGATGCAGTTCACTGGTATGTATTAGAGAAGAGACTGTTGCTCCATTGTAATGTTATTCCCACATGACCTTATGGTAATCTCAGTCCATTTCAATTCTGACATGAACAAAATTGAAAGATTATAAGGAAGGAAAACAATAAATATCTGAAAGGCAGACTTCATCCATTACAAAAATCCCTGCCTTTTTCTGTCCCTTCAGTTAAGCCCCAGTTGACGCTTCGACACCAAAGCCTTGTGATGAAACATGCTTAACTATTCAGAGATGCTTATATTCCTTTCCTTTCATTTATTAGCTTCATTGACCAGAGGTTAAGCCAAACGTACAAACAGCTACTATAAAACACATTACATATAATTACAAGATGATTTGGGCCAAGCGTTTTTACAATAAAAACTAATAAACATACTCATAAACAATATTAACAGACAACATTTTATAAACTTCCATAAATTCTATAAAATCCCATGATATTATAGAAATTAGTTTTAGAATTTATATACATAAAACTACCTACAGCATTTCAAAGCAGCTTTAAAAAATTCACTATCAATACATATTTTATCACCAAGCGAGTCGTTTCGGGACTCCTCATCTGCTAGCAATACGGTTATCACCCAAGGTTCCATAGGAAGGTGATGTCTGTGTAAAATAAGAGTAATCCAACAGGATCTGGGGCCAATCCACTGATGCTTATATTCTATGCTACCCAGAGATCCTTATATTCTAAAACGAGACATCTGTTGACTTCTACTAATTTCTGTAGTACTCACAGCCCAGTTTTGCTGAACTTCATGAGGATGCAAAAGGATGATATATCCCCAGCTTAAATGCAGCCGTCGTTTCCCGCAAGCAGCAGGCACACCGCACATTAGTTAGAGAAAAGACAAAGAGAGAAGGAAACTGAAAGGCATCCCTCCTGTGAGCAGTAGGATTGGGAGTGTTTGGTGCTTACTCAAGACTCTGAGCCACCTGTCTCTCTGCCGGGCAGACGGACTGCACTTTTAAGAAGCTTAGAAATGCTGTATAAACAGCTGAAGGATTGTGAAGGGTTAATTCTTCACAGAAACAAGAGAGCCTTGAGTAACAGGCTGCTTCACGCAATCAGACTGGTTAGCAGCCTGTCATAGAATCATAGAGTTGGAAGGGGCCATGCAGGCCATCTAGTCCAACACCCTGCTCAGTGCAGGATCAGCCTAGAGCATCCCTGATGAGTGTTTGTCCAGCTGCTGCTTAATGACTGCCGATGAGGGGGAGCTCACCACCTCCCTAGGCAGCCGATTCCACTGCTGAACAACTCTTAAAGCCTAACAAGATTTTATTCTAGCATGAATTTTGATGGACTAAAGCCCCCTTCATCAGATGCATACAGTGAGTCCTCACTTGGCAGACATCAGAGGAGACATGAAGGGAAAAAAATGTTTGCTTCTGTAGTTTTTCTGTTAATCTCATTTGGAATTCCTAGTTCTGCTGAAGGTGCTGGGGGAAAAAATTATGATTTTGGGACTGAAAGAAAACATGAAAGTTTATTTTATTAATATCAAATCCATTTGCCCATTCCAAGGAATAGCCAGAGTGGCATACAATACATGGGGAAATGCTTCCATAAAAATAACGAATTAAAAAATGAACAATACCTAAAAAAAACCCCTAAAGCACAGTCAAGGAAAGACTGGATTTTTTTAAATGAAGTCTATTTTTCATGATTTTACTCATACACCAGCCACAGAAGAGCACTGAAACCTTACTTCCTGACCTCCAAAAATTCTCGCTCCCCGTTTCTCAGACACCACAAAGCTCTGCTTATATATTTGAGTTCATTCCCACTGTAATATAGGCTCAGAAATTCTGTTCCATCTTCTTTTCCCACTCCCTTTTTCATTTAATAATATTGTTTTCAAAAGTGGATACCTCAGAATGTATCCCATTTTCAGCTGTACCTGTCTGAACACAAATTTCTGCTCCCACAGAGCAGAATGGGAGCTCTCTTATTGGCAGCCAGCGCTGCCTGTAGAGCTTTGAAGTGTCACTATTGGTGTTTCCGGAGCTACAGAAGTTCACCCCCGTTGGCTTTGACAATTGTAATTGATAGGTACCAGGAGATGCCACCCACACAGCCCACCACGAGAAGGCCGAACCTCTGAAAACCATGTGGAGGGTCCTTGAGGCGCGATTACATGGACCTTGGTTGACAAACCACAACCCAGGTGGATTTTTGTTGCGAATTCAGGTTCGTTCCGATCCCTAACTAACAACCATGCTGAAGCCAATCAAGACTGGTCCAGGTCAGGATGAGACCCACCCTTGAGCTCCACAGGGGAAAGGCGGAATTTAAGAGCAACCGAAAAGGAGGCTCTCTGCACACATTATGGACGACTGTTGTTTACTCTGATGATGTTTTCAGCTGCAGTTTGTCAGCATGGCTTAGACATGGATGCAAGTAAACCGTGAAAGGCAACTGCTTTCAAAGCTACTCTGGGAGTACACCAAGACGAGAGAGCCAATCAGGAATCTTGCCTTTGTGGTTTTATATGTTTATGATCCACACTGCCATAGCAAAAACATTATTGCCATATAAAGTAAACAGCGCACTCTGAGAAATTCATAAATCTAAACAGTGTTATGGCAAGGTTCCTTGTTGAGTTTCGAAAGGAAATCTCTCAGTTACAGCAATTCACTCAACTTTGCTATAGTCAACTATAGCCTATTTAATATATAGAACATTCATACAAATAGAAAGCTAGTGTGTTTTTATGGCTTGCCAACCCAAGGCATCCCCTAAACGGGGCTTCACTCAGTTATGTTAAAAATGTGCTGTTTATTATCACACTTACACATCCTGTGACAAACACTACTCGTGAATTCCCGTCTGGCACTTTTATAACTTTTACTGCTTTCAAACAGTGACAGAACAATGTCAGTCTGTGTCAATCTATGCCACATACATCACAACAGGGAAAACCAAAACAAAACAAGCTTATATACAATAAATCATCTAGTAACACATAGCCTACACATATTTTAGGTCAAATTAAATCATTCACTTAATGAACTACTTTGATCATTTAAAAAAAAAATCAACTGAGGAATTGCCTATATAATTAAAAATATATTCCTGGCGCTTTTTAAATTAGTAACAAGGGTTCTTGTAATTTGATTGCGGTCTTCGTAGACTGTAGCCGCCAACATGTCTAAATGGGAAGATCAATAATGCTCAACAAGAAAATGGAACACTTCTTCCCACAGGCAGATGTTGACTCTTAAAAGCCACTTGACAAGCACTTTCCAATTTAGCTTCCTCTGTGTAAGTGTTAAAGATTTCAAAGAAAATGGTTTATTAACTAATTGATGGTGTCGCTTAGTTTTAGAGGGGAAATTTTAAAGGGAATTCTTGTTCTTTCTTTTAAAAAACAACAACAAACCCTTGGCACAATAAAATTACCTCTTTGTACTTCTCAGCAAATCTCCCAAATTTTTCTATCATTTCAGCCACAAAAATAACATCCATCTTGTCGGAAAAGTTTGCTGCTTCCACAGTATAAGCTAATAGCTGCCGTGCTGTTGCCACTGCGTTAGTAAGGTTGAGGGGCATCTGTACAAGGCAAAAAATTTAGTACAAAATAAAGTACAAAACCAAAACAAATCAAATGGGATTCAGCCATAAAGAAAAGATCATAAAGAACTTTAAAGTTCATTGACTAATCTGATCCTACTATAAATACAATCTCAATCTTTAGTTGTTACAATCATAGATCAGCATACTATAGCCAGTTTGGTATAGTGGTTAAGTGCGCGGACTCTAATCTGGGAGAACTGGGTTTGATTCCCCACTCCTCCACTTGCAGCTGCTGGATGACCTTGGGCAAGCCGTAGTTCAGTCAGAGCTCTCTCAGCCCCACCTACCTCACAGGGTGTCTGTTGTGGAATGAGGAAGGGAAAGGAGATTGTAAGCCGCTCTGAGACTCCTTTGGGAAGGGCGGGGTATAAATCCAATCTCTTCTCTTATTCTTCTTCTCTATAAATACAAGGAGTGGGATCCAAAAGGACTGTGCTGCTTCCTGTCTTTCCCCTGCCTGAAGATCCCCCCCCCCCAGCCAGTCTCCAAAAAGTTGCCCTTGAAGAACAGGTAAACCTCTGTAACCACTATGTCGGGATTTGCAGTGGGACGGGAAGCCTTGCCCTGCCAAAGAAGGAGGAGGAAAAGAGATTGGATTTATACCCTGCCCTTCACTACCTGAAGGAGTCTCAGAGAGGCTTACAATCTCCTTTCCCTTCCCCTCCCCATCACAGAAACCCTGTGAGGTTGGTGGGGTTGAGAGAGCTCTCTCAAGAACTGCCCTTGAGAGAACAGCTCTGAAAGAACTTGTAACTGCCCCAAGGTCACACCAGCGGCTGCATGTGGAAGCGTGAGGAATCAATCCCCGTTCTCCCAGATCAGAGTCCGCGTTCCTAACCACTATACCAAACCGGCTCTCAATTCTACTGATGGTTTGTAACCTTATTATACTGTTCAAGATTTCAATTCTGGATACTTGAACGATTATACTCTGTTCTAATGAAAGTTTGTAATGTTATATGATTAAATAAAACATTTAAATTAAAAAAAATTAAACATTAATGCTGTGGCAATAAACAAGAGCTTTCTAAAACAATGCACTATGAAGGATGAGCAGCTGCAGGGGAAGGAAAAATGAGCAACGCCTCCAAGGGAATCCGGAAGTGACCTGAGAATACACATGGGGACCCATGCTCCCTCTAAGCTGAGTTAGTGTGAGCTAGCTCACAGTTTTTTAGCCTCCAGCTCACAGAATTCTGCCTTAGCTCAGGAAGGCTGGCTCCAGAGCAAACGAATTGATGCAGCGGCCAAATCGCTCGCTCACAACTTTATGTAGCTCACAAGGTAGAATTGTTTCTCATAAGACCCCACAGCTTAGAGGGGGCACTGACGGGGACTCTCTGGATCCAAGCACAATCTTTCAAACAGAGCCCCCCCCCAACATGATGCCCATGGGTGCCAGGGCACCCGCCGACATTTTTCCTTGTGCTTGCCAAGCATCTTTAGAAAGTGGGTGCAGCCGGGTGAGGTTTTCTCTCGCGAGGCTTGGGACTGGCTGCGCAGATTTTTAGAAACGCTGCGGCTGCCTCCACAGAACAAGGATCTTCACTATGTGAAGCCACTTCATAGCTGCACCCACTACGCTGCATCGGAATCCCGAAGGTGCCCACAGGCTCAAAACGGTTGGGGACGGCTGCCTTAAAATGACCACCCTGTGAGTCAGCACGAAAGCTTTCAGCCATTATTTATAAACCATTTCGCAGAGGATGAAGAAGGGGAAATGAATAACCTGATTGAACATGTACAGCACTCTAGTGGCATCATTTGCATATTGGCACCGTGAGTAATCCTCTTCAGCCCAGAACCCTCCCCGGTTGCATCTGCGCCAGGCTCTCTTCTCGTCTTGAGAGTTGCCAGTATATATTCCGCTGCCAGCCGAGTAACGAGTGCACAGCAGGTATGCCGTAATGCCTGCCAACGTTCGAGGCCACCTAGAGAGTTAAGGAGAAAGATTAGACAAATTTACATGGCAAGTGTGGGGGGAAAAATATCAGTAAATAACGGAATTAAGGCCTATGGAACCAAATGCGAGACACTTCAGAACTAAGTATCTGTGACCTATCGAAAAGGTCACCTTGGCAAGTCTTCCAACGTTAAAAGTTCAGGGAGCATAAAAATACTGACGAATACTACAGTACCACCTGGTGCACCATCCTATTGTTTAGACTTGCTCATAATTTTGCAAACTTGGGGGGAAAGTTGGGACATGCCGCTATCAGGTGATTTTTAAGTGAATATTAACAAATGTTCACAGCATGTCAGAAGAAATTAGAATGTTAGAAGTTGGGGATGTCTCATTTCCCCCTCCCACACAATGTCCTCTTTTCCCTTCCCTAAAAGCCCCCACAGGTTCTCCCCGTCTCCCGTTTCCCCCTCTTCTTCCCACTCACAAACTAACCTGTCTTTATCTGCTTCCCTGTCTTCAGTTTTCCCTCCTTCCCTCCCCCTGGCAGCCTCTCCCTGGGAAAAGCCGCACCCAGTTGCGTGGTAGATTGTTTGTGGAGGTTGCTGCCAGGCGTGTCCCCTCTTAGTACCCCTCCGGCAGGGAATATGTTCGGTGAGGGGGACAGGACCTTTTCCAGGGCTGTTCTGGTTTTCGAATGCCCCCCCCATCTGTGTTTTCTCTACAAAGTTTGCGACTTTTCATAGTTACTGAACTTTAATCATTGTTGATGTAAAAAATCTCTCTCTCCATAACATATAACTAATTAAATGAACTGAAAGAGAGAGAGAGAGAGGTGGAAAGAAAGAATGAAAGAGGTGGAAAGAAAGAAAGAGAAAGAAACAAAAAAAAGGGAGGGAGGGAGGGAGGGAGGGAAGAAGGGAGGAAGGGAGGAAGGGAGGAAAAGGAAGGAAGGAAGGAAGGAAGGAAGGAAGGAAAAGCAGGGCTCCCCTTCGCTTCCCCAGCTGCCCAGCCGGGAGCCACACAATATGTGTGAAAGAGTCACATATGGCTCCCAAGCCACAGTTTGGCCACCCCTGCTCTAAACTAACATCAATAACCTAGATTTTTAGACTGCAACATTACAATGTCTAACCTTTTTACAAAAGCAGTAAGATGGCAGTGGTGGTGGGAGAACAATATGGTACCTGGACCAGGGTGCTAAGGAAAGCGGGGAGGAGACTTCCCCACATGCCATATATCCCCCCCCCCACCATTGAAAATGCTCCCTCTGTACTCCAAGATGCCTTAAGCCCAGGCCCATAGCTAGGATTTGGGGAGGCCTTTAAGTAAGTTGGGGGGCACCCCCGCACGCGCACACCCCGGG